CATGGGGTCGAATCTGACAAAGTTGACTATATCCCACCGCTGCCACCAATTTGTAGCGGGCCGCAGTCTCTCTCGGAGGCAAATGCACACGGGTCTCAGTGAACACACTGTAACTGGCAATTGAAATGTACTGGCAACGAAATTAACTAACTGGCAACTAAATTAACTAACTGGCTACTAAATTAACTAACTGGCAATAAAAGAATCGTGAGCAGCAGCTTTTATGCAAAGGCAGACTCCGTACGCTAATGTACGGGGATACCCCAACGTATGGGGATACAGTACGGGGATATGCTAACGTACGGGAATACAGTAACGTACGGGATATGCTAACGTACGGGGATACGCTATACGCTACACCTCCCCTCTCAAATACAATCACGTCCTCGTGATTCGAATACTACATGTAGGTAATAGCTGGACATCAACAACTGGCTGCTATTTAGAAAAAAAACTGGCGACATGCATGGTCGCGTCGGAATAAACTCGACGATAAGAGATAGGCAGAATGGATGACTTGAATAATATAATACAGGTATGGAGTCGTGAACATTATAGTAGATCGCGAATTACTGGGAGAGCGTCAACCGGAATATGGCAAATAATATCGGAAATTATAACGTTTGGAATAGACAGAAGAATGAACTGATAAACAAATCATAAAGTAGAAGCACACCAGGTTCACACGATCTCACGGGGTCAAAAGGGGAAAGAACTGTCCTCCAAATAGGACCTGAAAACCACAGCACGCTTGCTGCACAACGCTGGCACAACCCGCCAGGAACATCGCAGTTCAAAAACCGAACTGAATACACTATACTATAATAATTATCACCATTCACTATACGGGGCATTGCCACACACATTGTCCCAGGTTAGCTGGGTAGACCGTGGCTCACCATGATCGGACGTCTACCGAACTAAACTGGATTCACACACTCGCATAAAGGAAGACTGAAGAGAACAGGGAGACTGAAGGAAGACAGGAAAGAAAATGCCATACCTGGAATCAGCGTTAGTAACCACGACGGCGGCTGGAGGTATGGCGGAGGGCGAGCCAGGTTTTATCTTCATCTTGGTTGAGCCGGTCACTCAGAGAGGCTAGCTCGGCGTCAGGCAGATCGCCCCTCCTCGCCTTGAATCGTGGTCTTCACGTTGTCGATAGCATCGCTTTGCGCGACGTAAAGAGTGATGGTCTAGCCAGGAAGAGTGTTGACGAAAATCTGCATCCCACCACGGAGACGAAGTGCCAAGTGAATAGTGGACTCTGAACGTTGTAGTCACTCAGGGTTCGGCCGTCTGCCAACTGCGTGCCGGCGAAAATCAAACGCTGCTGGTCTTGGGGAATACCCTCCTTGTCTTGGTCAGCAGCCTGCATGTCGTCGTCCTCATCAGCTTCGCCATCACCACCGGTAGTATACATGTAGGTAGCGGGTCGCTTGGAATCGCCATTGGAGTCTCCAATGGATGCCGTGCGGAGAGAAGGGTGATCCACGCTAGCTCCCTGACTGTGCTGCAGGCTAATAAGCAGGGCCAAGCCCAGGAAGGCAAGAAACATGATTCTCATCTTGATTCGTCGCAGGGAGCTGTAGCGGGTTGAGCCATGGGGTCCGAGAAACGTGTAAAGTAACACAGTTAGGTATGGAATGAAACAAAATGAATTTACCGCTGCCACCAATTTGTAGCACGTAAAACACATGGGGTCGAATCTGACAAAGTTGACTATATCCCACCGCTGCCACCAATTTGTAGCGGGCCGCAGTCTCTCTCGGAGGCAAATGCACACGGGTCTCAGTGAACACACTGTAACTGGCAATTGAAATGTACTGGCAACGAAATTAACTAACTGGCAACTAAATTAACTAACTGGCTACTAAATTAACTAACTGGCAATAAAAGAATCGTGAGCAGCAGCTTTTATGCAAAGGCAGACTCCGTACGCTAATGTACGGGGATACGCCAACGTATGGGGATACAGTACGGGGATATGCTAACGTACGGGAATACAGTTACGTACGGGATATGCTAACGTACGGGGATACGCTATACGCTACACCTAGTTCCTACTCTTTACTATAAATTCATTGTGAAGAAGAGGTTGGTGCGACTTCGGCGATACTTGGGGAATTGTGTGTTGCTCCCTAGATGGGGCTCACGCTACTCCTGTCGACTTGGATTTTCACTTGACTGGCTAAAGACTGCCATCCAGAGCACACGAGAAGTCCATCGAACCGTCCGCTCGGTAAACCTGCAAGAAAGCACCAACCCCTGCTCAATACACAGTGTTTCGGGGAAATCGCCCCTCATCAGTTGAGCTTGGGTAGTAGGCTGAAGAAGATTGTGCCTGAAGAGCACCACTTACATCTACATGTACAATGTATATAGTGCTCTGCAGGCACAAACATCGCCAGGAATACAAACTAAATTTTACTTACAGAGACGCTCTGTTTCCAGCGCGAGAAACACCTCGTGAACACCAGATGGCAGCGTGAGTCAGTGTCGATTTCAGCTCCAGCCGCTCCCCACTTCCCCCACTACAATGTTGGAGGCGGTGACGGAACTGGGGAGGAGCTGGAGCTGAAAACGAACCTCAAATTTGGTCATGAATGACACATATTGCGCAGTCATAGCAAAGTAAAATATAATACTAGTTTCCAGAACGTTTCCGTGTGATCATCATCACTTTACATCTTCTCGACCATTGTTCAAATTTGGTGTGGTGAGGTTTTCTCCAATTATGGCTTCCACTCTTTGCTGAGATGAGTTCTCGAAATTGTGCTGATTCTAGCTTTCCCTAATGCTACTATATTGTACATGTACAGGTAGTGGAGCGATGTTGGTAACAAATCTAAAAATACAACTGGCGAAATGGCCTGCATGCTGGCTCCAGAAAGGTAAACAACTAACTTCCACTGCTGTACTGGGACCATCAGCAGTGTGTCACTTGGACACAGTCGTTCCTACTCATCACCCGACCTGAAGCATGAAACATGAACGCAGATCACCCGATGGTGTAGATACACTGTGTGTGTGAGTAGTCGTACTTCTAGTACTAGCATTATTTCTCAGCATAGTCTTTCGAAATATCATTGGACAGCATACGGATGAAGGTCAATGTACTACGTGTACGTGTTGTCAAGTAAGGATTACTCGATGAGCTCCATGGGCTTCGTGGGAGCTGTCCAATGACGGTAAACAAGGGCCCAATTGTAGCTGCATAAGGATCTTTCCGAAGGGAAACATCTGATTGGTCAGAACCCCAGGCGTGGGCAATTCAACCTGACTTTTTTTGGAGCGCGTTGAATGAAAATTGTTGTCAAAACACAGCACCGAGTTGACAGGAACGTGTGCAGGTGGTTGGAGCTCAGTTGCCGCGCGTCATAACAAACGAATCACTGGTACTACGGCACGTCGAGTCCACATCTCTCAAACAAGCGCATGTATACGACTCGCACATGTCATTACCGGGCACGCGGTATACCGGTAGTCGTAGTCGGTCTACAAAACGACAACAGTCCTCAGGCGCGTCGGAACGACTTTGGAGGTGGGGCGGCCATGGGGGGGTCCTCCCCCGGGAAAAAATTTCAAAAATTAAAGCCAATTGCAAGCATTTCCGGGCATTTGGTGCCATTTCAGTGTACGGTAACTACAATGAAAGACTTTTTGATTCTGCAAAAAACCAAGAAGATGCTACGATCGGGGACAAATATTACCCTCCCCGGGAAAAAAATTCAACAATTGAAGCCAATTGCAAGCATTCCCAGGCATTTGGTGCCATTTCAGTGGACATGGACTTTTGATTCTGCAACAAACCACGATCGGGGACATAACAAGGATTTGCCACGTTTGCGCTGAGATCATCGCGCTTTGTTGCAGTGTGCTAAAAAATAAATTAAAAAAACGGCCGAAAAAGTGGGGCGGCCATGGCCGCCCCGGCCGGTGCGGTTCCGACGCCCTTGAGTCCTGTAGTCACAGCTTCTGACCTTCATCCGCAGTAACAGTAACGTAATGCCGCACTACTAGTATGTCTTCTCTGCTTGCAGTTTGACATCACTGACACAGCGCGCGATGTAACAGGCCAGGGTTCGTACAGTCATCGAACTAGTCATTGCAAAAGTCAGCATTTGCATGACACGCCATAGGCATACTAATCAATCCAGTAGTTTCTGGCCGTTGCGGCATGAGCCACAAACCCCTACAGCGGCCACATGTACGGCTGATGTTTGCTGCTGCTGACATAGCCCTGAGAATTTCTGCAATGCTGTCAACTCTTTCAAGAGCGTCATTGAACTGACAAAATGGCGTGGAGGTCGCGCCATAACACATGCTAAATATGCAGCTTACGAGTAACTTAGTTCCATCCCTTCGATCTAATTATGGATTTCAACGTTTGACGTTCTGCATCAAGCGAATGCAACTATTACTTCTCTCGACGGAGAGTCATTTCAACTGCTGTAGATGACAAAGTAACCATGGTAACAGGTGCTTGGCCTATGTCAACTGAGTTACTCGCCGAGACCTTTCTGGGATCTATCGCGATCGCGCTACAAATGTACAATGCAGTACAGTATCGAGATCTTTATGGGTTGTTTCCACAGGTCACACCGTACGCGTAGACAGTCAGTACTCAGTAGAAGAAGCGAACATGCAGTGATGTCATTCATCACGCTTCGCCGGGTTTTGCCATGGCTAAAGTCAGTATTACTTAGCTGAATAGATCACTGCACTACAAGTACAACTAGTACATGTAGTACAAAGTCATGTAGGTCCACACGCGACGCGTAGATCTACTGGTATGTGATAAGTGTGATGTGCACTGCGAACCTGGTCCCACCTACTACATGTACGTCATTGTAGCTCCGGCATGCGTCCAAAGCCAACACAATGTCCAATATATTAAAAGCAGATAATTATACACCACACATAAAGAGTAGGTTAGTTTGTTCTTGAGTTCCATCTTCGTACATTGGAAATAATTTAATTATTACTCTTCACAGTTTTAGTATTGTTGAGCAATGCATCGTCCTGGCAACAAGAAGTCCCTGCAATATCCTCCACCTGTTTCATCCTTAGTACTGCCCTGGTATATGGTCGAACTCGATACACTCTTCCTGAAACGATTAGTGATACTAGTAGTTCGTTCAAATTCCAAACTGACTAGGCGCAATGGCAGAAAACAATGCAGCCGCTCGCAGGTCTGACGTGCCTCACTCCGCATCGCCAGTGCCAGTGAATTGCCATGATATTCCTTATGAGGTATGGACGAGCTGGAACGCTGAAGCCCATTTCTTTCTATGGGCTATGCGCTGCACATTGTTCAGCCCTTTGATGTTTTTGAAGCGCAGAACTATCACAGACAGTAGCACATAAAATCTGAGCTGTGCAAAGCAGCAATGATAGCCCTAGATCACGTGACATGAAAATATACTGTAAAGCAAGAAGTACATGTATCTCAGGTAGGGTCCGGCGGATTCTGCCGGCAGAAAAATTGGCAGAATTCGGTACTTTTTCTGGTAAGTTTCATGCATGTTTGGTATGTGGATAAAGAAATGGAGAATTCGAGGAATTGCCCGCCATAAGATTTGTATGGTTCTGCAACTTTCACTGCTTTTCCAGCAGAATCCGCCGGTCCCTAATCTCAGCTTATGCTGTAATATTTTCTATGTTAATAGGAGAAGGGCAAGACATGTTATATGCATGTAATTCCATTCCTTGATGTGCGCAAGCTCCACTGCAGCCACTTCATTACATTCCATAATAATAATTAACTATTCAAGGGTAGCCCTTTCTAGGCCTTGACGGATTATGCTAATATTTTCGTGAAATTATGCTTTTCGCATTGCTGAAAAAATGGCAGAATTATGCTAAAAGTTATCATATTATGCCGCATCATGCTCAAATATGCTGCTAATGTATATGATGGTTCTGTGCAAAATAACAGGGGAATTTTTTGTAGAGGGTGTTGTACTGTAGTAGCAAAAGTTCAACGGGGTCAACGCACCGTCCTCCGACCTAGCTACGACCGTCACTTATTGTAGTGGACTGGACATTTATTTTATTTTATTTATTTCTGCACCTCGTGGCATGTCAAGACAGCCAATTGAATTGAGGAGAGGGTGAGACCAACCACGGAAGAAGAGAAAAAAGAAAATGAAGAGCACGTACACAAAGTGGGAAGGTATTAGCAACTTAAAAAGCAATGGGATGCTCAGCGAGCTATGCAGCGGAAGTGGTGACTGTGACTTTGTTTACTGGGAGATACTGAAGTGCTGACTGACGAGGGTACGGAATTTGGGCATATCTGGAGCTTGTCTAACACTGGGAGGCAGTTGGAGCCACGTGGAGTAGGAGGAAAAGAAAGGGGAATTTACGAATAGGGTAGACCTAGCTAGGGGGAGACGAACGCAGCTTCGGGTCGTGCCACCTGAATTGAACCAATTAAGGGACTGTAAATGAGCAGGGTGCTTGTCAAGAAAAATTGAATGTGCCAGGGTGCACTTGGAAGCATCAAGGTAATGTTGCAGAGTGGTAGCGGATGCAGCAGCATACAAGTCTAGATTTGTGATATAACGATCAGTACGAAATATGATGCGCAGTATACGGCGATGGAGAACTTCTAATTTACCTATGTGGGTTTTGTTAATGGTGGACCAGGCAGGGGAGCCGTACGTGAAGAGGGGAAGAATGTATGATTTATAAAAATTAATCCGGCAATTTTGGGGCAAATGGGACAAGTGACTTGACATTATGCCGACAGATCGGCATACTTTGGACGACACATGATCAGCATGGTGAGACCAGGAGAGGGCGGAACATGTTATCAAGGGAGTCGTAAACCTACGACTTCCTGGTGCATCTACTTGTACTTGTACTTGTAAAACATGTACAACTGTATGGAATTTGATGCGAACAGTTGGATTATTCCAACTTATGCGATTCGTATGCAATTTGCCTCGAATTATGCGATTATTCGATTTTGGTAGGAATTATGCGAAAAATTGTGCTAGCATAATCCGTCAAGGCCTAGCCCTTTCCCAAAGATACTCGCCACTTTTTCGCAAATTTTCATTGTTTAGGAAGAAATCGCAACTTTCGCAACTTTATTCATTTTCGCGAACTATTTCGCAACTTTTCCGCAACCTTGCCGCAATTGAGTTTGAATTGACCCCATGGCATGGGGTCAAAAGGTCAAGTCACCGACTGACCGACTACATGTACATGTCGGACAAATGCATACTCGTAGATCCAGGTGCTCGAAGTCCGTACATGGTATCCTAAGTTCGTACGCCCATAATTTCATGTTCTGTTATTGTATTCGACTCAAATATTTTAGGGAGGGGACAGTGTGGTATGTTCTCCTCGCGTACCAATTTTCAGGGATCTACGATAAGCAGAAGTCCCATACCATATGTATACCACGCGAGTGGGTTTTCGAGTGTCCTCCGCGCAAATGTTTATAGCAGCCTCCCAGCTCAAACGTGGCAAGCCGCAGCAGCTCTTCGTCGAGTCGGCTGATGGTCACATCCTCATGCGCGATGAGGAAAAGGCATCTCGCATACGTGATCACTATCAGGGGCAGTTCAACACTTCTGATGACCTGCTGCCACCGCCAGCTCCGCACACACTGGAGACGCCCGTTTCCACCGAAGGAGTAGAGGCGGCTTTGAGACGACTGCGAAATCAGAAAGCATGTGGGCCGGATGGTGTATGCGCAGAACTCCTCAAATACGGTGCTGAGTACATCTCCCCGATCATCACCACCATGATCAACAACAGCATCACCAGGGGCGACCACCTGTGTAGTGTTATTGGTCCAGGCATATTGATACCGTTACCAAAACCTAACAAGGCGCGGGGACCAGTTGCAAACCTGAGACCGATTGTATTGCTGAACACCCTGCGCAAGGTCATTTCACTCGTTGTGCTCAAACGTATCACACCACGTGTGTCGCATTATCTTGGATCCACTTCGTCTGGTTTCAGGCCTGGCCGTGGCACTGCCGATGTGGTGTGGACACAGCGCTGGATTTCGGCTAAGGCCACCCACTTCGTGTGGGATTGCCACGTCCTTGGCCTCGACATGTCGAAAGCATTCGACACCATTAGCCGCACAAAGCTCCTTGCTGTTATGTCAGAGATTACCGGACCTGACGAGGCTTGCCTGATTCACCATTTGCTGTATGGTACAACACTCTCTGTGAAAGTGGGTGCCACTTCAGCGGAGGCGTTTGTTAGCACGCTAGGTACACCACAGGGTGATGGGCTGAGCCCGGTTCTGTTTGTTTGCTACCTGGAAGCAGCACCGAGGGAGACTCGAAGCAAACTACCACCACGGCCAGACACTGATGCAGCAATACCACAGGAAACAGGATATGCCGATGACATTTCCTTCTATTCGACTGAGCGACAATGGCTTGCCAACTCCCTACCCGTGATAGCTGACGGCCTGGGTGACTGGTCACTCAACGTTAACAGCAGCAAAACAGAGTGGCTTCACATCTCTGCCTCCACCACCGAATGGCGAAGATCGAAGCAACTTGGCTCTCTCTTGGGGGAAGAGGAGGACTTGAGCCGACGAATGGACCAAGCATCAACATCGTATGGCCGCATGTATTCGCTCTGGATACGACGTCAACTTGTATCCGAGGAAACCAGGCTTCGTCTCTACAATGCCATCGTCCTACCAACACTGTTATACAACTGCGAAACCTGGGGACTGACAGAGGCTGCACTGGAGAAGCTGAACGCCTTCCATAGACGTCAACTACGGAACTTGTTCGGAATTAGGTATCCCGCCATCATCTCCAACAAAGACCTATATTCCAGAGCACAAGCACAGCCACTTTCGCACACCGTTGCTGTCCGCCGTTTCCGGATGTTGGGTCATGTTCTGAGGATGCCCTCAGATGCCCCGCCACAGCAGGCAATGGACAACTACTTCCGTCGAGATGTCACCGGTGTGCGTGGACGCCCGAAATCGAACCTGGCCACGGCAGTCAAGGCAAGCACAGCTGCCAGAGACATGCCACTGAAGACCATGACTGATCTGAGTGGGCTCAGAATGCGCGCTTTGGACAAGCAATCATGGAGGGAACTCTCAGCCTGAGCTGGTTTTGCTCGCGGCTGCAACGCACGGGGTAGTGAACCCAGGACAGAAGCGGACCAGGCATCATGACTTTGCACATCTATCGTTATGCTGCTTCATTACGCGACCTGTTTTATTATTACAGTCGTCCCTCTCTAATCCGGCACTTTATAATCCAGCACCCTCGATAAACCGGCACAATTTTCAGTAGCCAAATGTCCTCTTCATGCACATTGCAGCAGTAGATCAGATTTGTTAATCCAGCACCCTCCCTAATCCAGCAGATTTTCGTGGCACAAATGGTGCCGGATTATAGAGGGACCACTGTATTATTATTATTATTATACGAAATACAAATTGGGTTACATTTCATGCAAAAATCAACTTTGCCAAGACCGATTTCGAACGGACACAGCGTCAAACAGACCTTCACTCAATCATCAAGAGCCAGCTTAGAGCTGACAATGGCCAGAGGAGAAGAATTTACAGAGAACCACCAATCCTTGCAGAAAGGTTGACACTCCTGGCATCTCCACCACTGTTTTCCCGCGGTTTTCACAGCGCAGCTGCTCCTTCTCTGAGCCGACTAAAAACAGCTTGCATTTCGGCAACAAACTACGCTTTTGCAAGAAATACTGGTGGAGGCACATGCCAAACATATCCCTTCGGTGCTTTCGTCGTAACCGAGGGATTGCAAGTTAGCAATTAGCGGAAGTATGTGTGTAGGTTTCGAGTCACCTCTGATCAGTACGGACTTAGAGTACCCTCTGCGACACCAAAATTTGATATGAAAAATCAGCGAACTCCAGAGAAACAGATCGGATCGAAAGATGGCCTGGTTCAATCGAGCCTGGCCTCAGAACAAACTTGGACAAGATACCTTCCATCCACGAGCAGGATTCTGGCAAGTGATCATTGCTAGTGTGAGTTTCAGCTCGGCAAACACACACTGTAAAAGTGTACGGACTTCGAGCACCTGGGTCTACTCGCTCATTTCTCGCCTGCCTTCAGACTGATTTCAGAGAAACAGTAGATCAACGGTAGTTATGATAATGTGCATTCCCTTTCCCTTGCACTGGAAAGATGTAGATCTACATGTGTCGTGTCCGTGTGTTGCTATCTGTATTGTATTCCGTCTGCTCCTACATGTATCTTTGTCAAGTGTTTGCCGTGGCGTCGATGTGTCTCGTCTATGAATAGCGTTGGGAAACATATCACTATTCATGCTTTGCTGGCTGGCTGCTCGCGCCCTTCGCTCCTTCAGCTTGCACGCTACTAGGACATAATAGCAGTATATAGCTCGATGCTTTGCTTCGAGAGGTTGTGGTTGTTGTGCTTGTTGCTTCTCGGTTGCTTGGAACTTGGTCCTAGAGTGAAGCTTTGGTCTTCTTGTGTGGTGAGGGTGAGGAATGGGTATCTGGACTCCTGGTATATTTCCGTAAAGAACCTGGAATCGTAGAATCCTGAGATATGTCTGGCCCACTCCCCGGTCATGACACATGTAGGATACATGTACATGTAGATGTACATGCAACAGGCTACTGGCACTGTGTAAAGTGGTGTAGGAAGGGTGTAGATCTACGACTACGTACGAGTTTGCTGTCGCTGCGCTTCTGCTATATCTGCTCCCTTTTTTGTAGGTTTTCCACAAGAACTCTCCAATTTAGGTTGCGATATCAGCAACTTTTGAGATTTTTTCTGAAAATATGGATGCGATTTGAGCAACTAGCACTTGTTTTGGCACGGTTGCGAAAAGCAAAAGTTGCGAAAAATTATGGCATCTTTGGGAAAGGGCTACTGATCGGGTAATGAAGCTGCGAAGCGTCCTTCAAAATTTTGAAATAATAATTCCATAATTAAATTGGTTCACCATCCTAATTAACATTTCCGTTCATCCGGAAATCGGGGTTTCGTAGTGTTCTAAATAATTGTAATATCGGTCAGTTTGGTGCTCTCCTATAAGTACTAGAACAATACTATAGATCATAGAGGTTATATGCAATTATGTCATCAACTGAGATTCGCTGGCCAAGTCGTGGCACAGCAATGTAATACTAATAGCAACTCATGCTGTAGACTAGTACATAGCGCCCATAAGGAGGTCCGCTAACTCACCACCATGACATCATTCACATAACCGTTATTGTACATGACTTTACTGATAGCATGTTGCGTTCAATTTCGGCGTAAGCTGCTCGTGCGGCAGCTACAGAGAACTAAACCCCAGCAAAATGACTGGTTCAGCTGCTTATCTCTAATAAGGTATTCTACCTCATCCGGTATTCCCACCATTCGTTAACCTAAAAAAATTAATGTGTTACTTTGGCCCCCACCTGCCTCTGTATAAATGTGCAGCTTTAGATATCCTCTAAAGAAGTTGATTGCTCCCACACTGAAGGTCGCGCTTTTCCCGCCGACCTGAGGTGACACTTGACTGACGGACAAACTGACTGAATTCATTCTGGCCTACTTGGTGTTTACAGGTGTTTCCAGTTCAGGAGGAAACCCAGATGCAGACGGGTTCATCTCCACTGTGCCATTGTTCAGGCAGCTCCCGGAATGGTTATCCACTCATGTTTCAGTGCAGTAGCTGCTGTGCACCGTTGTACACGCCCCCACCGCGCCCACAAGCACATGGCCAGCAGCATTCAGCGAATGCTTTTCATCCCAGACCGGGAGCAGAAGAGGTCGGGTATGGATTTGCACCGGCTGGTCACGAGCCTTTATTAAACGGTAAGATCAAGTGTCATGCCATCAGATGTTGTTACACAGTAGAAGAAAGTTGTAGCTCCCCATCTATTTGAAGTAACTCGGCACAGGATTGTTTTATATCATTTAGACTGTGGAGGAGGGATGCCGAGATTCTAAACAGATTTACCACAACACTTTCAGATGTATGAAAGGAAAATCCTGGTCCGACATGATGTTTTTTTGTGATTCGCTCTCCGACCAGGAAAGTGCTTTGCGAACATCTTTTAGTACCTTCTTGTAAGGGACTCTGCTTACTTGCCATATTCTCAGAATTTTATCTTTAATTGAAGGAGCTGTGTGCATTTGTATGAAATGGGCAATAGTTAGCATACTCCAGGTAACAGCTAGGTCGTCGTGTTCTACATGTATATCATGTAGAGAGGATTTCTTTTAAGTTAATGACTTCATTCGTTCGCTATTCTGCACCTGTGCCTGTGTTGCTCGCAGCGTACCCGCCGCCAGTACATGCCCAGCACTGTTCAGCCACCCCAAACAGGTCCCTTGCACCAATGCCGTCATACGAGTGCAACGGGCTGCAGTCAGCACCAAGTACGCCTGCCCCGCTTCGGAAAACTCCTCCCCGCTTGCCTAATCAGAAGACGCACCATCCTGACATCAGGAAACCACCACCCGAGCCAGACCCTCCATCAGCAGCAGAAGGTTAGTTGGGCTTGTCACGTGATAACGAAACCCTTGGTCGGCTTAGCTGCTCTTTCTTGTCCCGCCTCCACTACTTCGACTGCCATTGCAATGTGTCGCTCTGTTATTTTCTTGCTGGGGTTTGCACCATGTTGGCTTGGGGCTATCTTGTCAAAACAAAACAAAAAACGCAAAAAAGCGCTTTGATCTCCAGGTAGCTGACATCACAGGTCACAACCAAAGTCAACCTTCAGCGTGTTCGCTTTACTAAGATATCATCGCGTTCAATGCTCAATATGATTATTATCCCGAATACACGATACACATACATGACTGTATCATCCGGGATCTGCAAAGCGTAGAGAGAGAGGACTCTAGGTTGCAGCTTTGAGCTTCACGTTCATTCACCAAAACCAGACAACCGCCATGGTGGTCCAAAACAGGTTGCCTGTGCGGCAGGCCAGGATTTGAATGAAAATTCTCAAACTAACTTACAGTCCATCTCAAAATTATAGACGCGTAGGGTTTTTGAAATATTTCAAATTTGGCTGGAACTTTTTGAGAATAGTTTTCGGAATATTGCGCAGGACTGCTCCACAATTACTCTCATATCGTTTCTAAACGATTGGATAACAGACGCCCAATTTGGAAAAATTTATGCACAAAGTGATCACAGATTTTATGTGGTATAGATGCTGGCATACGGTTTTTGCCTAGGTACGCGTCTATAGTTTTGAAAAGGACTGTAGAATTCATGTTGCTCGGCTTCGGTGCATTGACAACCCAGGAGAGATTAATTTGTTTCATTTTGCACCTCTCGTGTTTGACGCCGAAAATCCGATTGTGTTTTGCTCTTTTGTTAGATGCAGATCTGCGGCAGGTGGACATCGTCATAGCCGATATTGCGCACAACGTCACGAAGTGTAACATCGACCAGGTGTTCAAATCAGTTTACAAACTGGAGAGCTTGGCCTTGAGGCTGGAGTACCCCGCGGAGATGATTGCTGACATGAAGGGGGATATCTCACAGAGCGCAGCACGCGGTCAATGCTACGGCGACCATATCTACAAGATGCTGAAAAACTTTAAAAGCAAATGTGCCGAGCGCAGAGAAAGCGATATCACCCAGAAAATGGTCAGCCTGCTTGTGGACAATGGTTATGGAGCGCTAGTGACTGGGGGCGGTGAGTTCTGATATGCCGCTATGTTGTGTTTGTGCTAAAGAATTCAATTTCATGGATTTAATTTGGGTTTTTTTACTTAATGCTGAGCCAAGCTTAATAAAGTAAAGCACATCACGAGAGACCAGAAAGGCTCTTAGTCGGATATCCATTATAGGCACCACTACAGTAAAACCTGTAACTAAAGACCACCGTGACTAGCGACCAGCCTGGTACTAAAGACCGCTCTGCCGGGCACGGACGGTCTCACATTCATATACTATGGCTGTGCGGTGCAAACCTCTAGCTAAAGACCACCTGCCACTAAAGATCGCTTTCTCTGGCCCAATGGGTGGTCGTTAGTCACAGGTTTTACTGTATACGTTAATGTCGAAGGTGTGAGGCATCCTGCAGCTTCGTAACTCAAAGAGAAGTGGTGAGCACACACGCTCTTTCCCTGGGCACTGCAAAAGTCACAAAATGTTGCATCCTGATCATGGAAATTTGCCGAAACAATGAAAAAATGATTCTGTGAAATGAGTTGTGATTTTTGCAGTCGTGCCCAGGGAAAGAGCATGTGTGCCTGGTTTGGTTTTTATTATTTCGGTTCGTTGCCTCAACAGTACAACTTACAAATATCAAGAGGGACGAAAAGAAGCTCACCACTTCTCTTTGACTTTAAAAAAAATCAATCGAATCCAATCATACGGCGAGAGCCGATTGCAAGGATGTCACTACATGTATGTAACATGTCAATGGTTATGTACAATACAGCTCAATGAGCAGAGGTCGGCCGCAACAACAAGTACACATTTGCAAGTACAAGTACAAGTACACATTATGTCCATTGCGAATTGAAGCTGTGGATTCGGCATGTTCTTGGTTCGCTTGGACGAAACATTCAATTTGTATGGCGATATAAAGAACTGCTAGGACTCCAAGTATCACCAAGAGTACATAAACCTCTTGGTATAATGCATGGACGACCATCAGACAGTGATTGCTTGCTTTTCGAGTTTCGCACTAAGGGAGCCTTTAGCCTAACCTTCAAGCTTTAACCAGCATTCAATGTTCTTACCTGGTATTGTGGTCCGCTCCAGATGTGTCTCCTATGCCTCTGGCGGCTTTCTACCAGTATCAACGTATCGTAGGACCTGAGCTCACAGTTTCTAAGCCCGCTACAACACCTAAGGAGGACAGCGGCTTCGGCAGCGAAGGCAGTGTATGCGGCGGCCGGCGCGGCTCCATAGTGTCACAAGAGAGTGGAACAGGTCTAAGGATGTCTGCATTACACCAGGAGAGCTCGCCCAATGGCCACGACGCCACAGGGCGGGAAGAGCGTTACATTTTTTCCCCCAATTACTCTGCCATTCCAGAAAGTCGTCACGGAGAGGAGGATGGCGAGCCGATGTACGAACCATCGTATACGTACATTGTGCACCAGGTGACACCTGGGCAGAAGTAGGTCTCAACACTTAGCGTCATTGATAAGCCGGGACTTCGCTACCTGTCCGATTATTTTGCCGGAGCCATGCGTTCTTCTCTTTAACTATACTTTCCCGAATCGGAAAAGTATATAATCGAAACCTACCCCTAACATGGTGATATTTTCACTATGACATTTTTTAATTATTCAATTGAAAGACAATGAAACGGAAAGTACGTCTCGTCCAAGCCAGCCATTTGCCATGACGACACACACCTTTGGCATGAACCATCCGAACCAGGCATTCACACTTCCAATGTGTCAGTTCCTAATGAAAATGTAGCAATCCCGCACTGCACATTTCTTTCGTTTATTTGTCTCGTTCTAGTTGAATAGTGTTGGTAAAATCCCATCACACTGAGAAGGTCTTAATATTATCACGTTAATAGTTAAACACCTCATTCTTATACATTGGTCGAAGACATTGGTTATAAATAGCTAACAGATCACGCCCAAATTATCACAATTATCTTCTTTCCTCTTCATAAAACCAATTAGATACAGTCCTGAGTGATACGTTACTCTCCCTGTTTTCCTATTGACATTCCTTAACGAAGCCGCAACCATTCATGGCTACAAGTTTTATTGTTCGTCTTCGAATTTAACCTCTACAAACATCAGTGTCACACTTGGCGTCGCCATTCCTTCATCCTGAATGGTGAATATCCGAACGTGCTTTTTTTATGAAAGATATAATTGCTATGTGCCGGGTGTACTCCTGCGTGCATGAAAGCATGGGCCCTAGCATTAAATAATACGTCCGTTCTCCTATAACCTTCACGAACCTGCACTCTCACACAAATCGCAGAACATGAGTGGATGAGATGAAAAGAAAAGGACCAAGATAGCCAGTTAGTTGTAGAATGTCAGTACTGTCGGTCAGTTTTGTGCAATGTTATCGAATGAGCTGATTGCCAAGTAACTGGTGGGGCTAGTGGACAATATAGCGTAACTTGTACCTGGTTCCTACTCTTTACTATAAATTCATTGTGAAGAAGAGGTTGGTGCGACTTCGGCGATACTTGGGGAATTGTGTGTTGCTCCCTATATGGGGTTCACGCTACTCCTGCCGACTTGGATTTTCACTAGACTGACTAACGACTGCCATCCAGAGCACACGAGAAGTCCATCGAACCTTCGACTCGGCAAACCTTTTGTGTTGTTGTTGTGTTTATTTTAATTCGCAAACCAAACGGGCAGATCTGCCCAATGAAAAGGTGGCGAATGCAGATAGAAAGCAGTAATAAATGAAATGCAAGAAAGCACCACTCCCTGCTCAATACACAGTGTTTCGGGGAAATCGCCCCTCATCAGTTGAGCTTGGGTAGTAGGCTGAAGAAGATTGTGCCTGAAGAGCACCACTTACATCTACATGTACAATGTATATAGTGCTCTGCAGGCACAAACATCGCCAGGAATACAAACTAAATTTTACTTACAGAGACGCTCGGTTTCCAGCGCGACAAACACCTCGTGAACACCCGATGGCAGCGTGAGTCAGTGTCGATTTCAGCTCAAGCTGCTCCCCACTTCCCCCACTACAATGCTGAAGGCGGTGACGGAACTGGGGAGGAGCTGGAGCTGAAAATGAACCTCAAATTTGGTCATGAATGACACACGTTTTTGCAGTCATAGCAAAGTAAAATATAATACTAGTTTCCAGAACGTTTCTGTGTGATCATCATCACTTTCCATCTTCTCGACCATTGTTCAAATTTGGTGTGGTGAGGTTTTCTCCAATTTTGGCTTCCACTCTTTACTGAGACGAGTTCTCGAAATTGTGCTGATTCTAGCTTTCCCTAATGCTACTATATTGTACATGTACAGGTAGTGGAGCGATGTTGGTAACAAATCTAAAAATACAACTGGCGAAATGGCCTGCATGCTGGCTCCAGAAAGGTAAACAACTAACTTCCACTGCTGTACTGGGACCACCAGCAGCAGTGTGTCACTTGGACAGGGTCGTTCCTACTCATCACCCGACCTGAAGCATGAAACATGAACGCAGATCACCCGATGGTGTAGATACACTGTGTGCGAGTAGTCGTACTTCTAGTACTAGCATTATAATTTTCAGCATAGTCTTTCAAAATATCATTGGACAGCATACGGATGAAGGTCAATGTACTTGTACGTGTTGTCAAGTAAGGATTACTCGATGAGCTCCCTGGGCTTCGTGGGAGCTGTCCAATGACGGTAAACAAGGGCCCAATTGTAGCCGCATACGGATCTTTCCGAAGGGAAACATCTGATTGGTCAGAACCCCAGGCGTGGGCAATTCAACCTGACTTTTTTTGGAGCGCGTTGAATGAAATTTTTTGTCAAAACACAGCACCGAGTTGACAGGAGCGTGTGCAGGTGGTTGGAGCTCAGTTGCCGCGCGTCATAACAAACGAATCACTGGTACTACGGCACGTCGAGTCCACATCTCTCAAACAGGCGCATGTATACGACTCGCACATGTCATTACCGGGCACGCGGTATAGTCGTAGTCGGTCTACAAAACGACAACAGTCCTGGAGTCACAGCTTCTGACCTTCATCCGCAGTAACAGTAACGTAATGCCGTACTACTACTAGTACTAGTATGTCTTCTCTGCTTGCAGTTTGACATCACTGACACAGCGCGCGATATAACAGGCCAGGGTTCGTACAGTCATCGAACTAATAGTCAGTGCAACAGTCAGCATTTGAATGACACGCCATAGGCATACTCATCCATCCAGTAGTTTCTGGACGTAGCGGCATGAGCCACAAACCCCTACAGCGGCCACATGTACGGCTGATGTTTGCTGCTGCTGACATAGCCCTGCGAATTTCTGCAATGCTGTCAACTCTTTCAAGAGCGTCATTGAACTGTCAAAATGGCGTGGAGGTCGCGTCATAACACATGCTAAATATGCAGCTTCCGAGTAAGTTCGATCCCTTCGCTTCTATGGATTTCAACGTTTGACGTTCTGCATCAAGCGAATGCAACTTCTCTCGACGGAGAGTATTTTCAACTGCTGTAGATGACAAAGGAACACGTGCTTGGCCTATGTCAACTCGCGGAGACTTTTCTCGAATCTATCGCGATCGCACTAGTATTAGTGCTAGTACTAGTATTAGTGCTAGTATCGACGTCTTTCCGGGTTGTTTCCAAAGGGCAGATCCACTATCAGCAGTAGAAGCGAACATGCAATGATGTCATTCATCACCCATAGCCCGGTTTTGCCATGGCTAAAGAGATCACTGATCAATAAGTACACTGCGAAAAATTCCCGGTGCCACCTTGTGACCTACACTACACTACTGTCACTAGTACTAGTACAGTAGTAGTAGACCTACTACATTGTAAAAATGTAAGCTGCAGCATGCGCGCGCGTCCGAATCCAACACAGTATCAGATAAAATGTACACCAGAAAACGAAGAGTACGTTAGTTTGTTCTTGACTTCCTTCTTCTTGCATTGGAATTATGGCTCTTCACAGTTTTGGTGTTACTGAGTAATGCATTGTCCTGGCAAGACTAGTCTCTGCAATATCCTCCACCTGTTTCATCCTCAGTATTGCCCTGGTGTATGGTCGAACTCGATACACTATTCCTGTAACGATTAGTGATAGTTCGTTCAAATTCCAAACTGACTAGAAGACGCAATGGCAGAACACAATGCAGCCGCTCGCAGGTCTGACGTGCCTCACTCCCCATCGCCAGTGCCAGTGGATTGCCACGATATTCCTTATGAGGTGAGGACGAGCTGGAACGCTGAAGCCCGTTTCTTTCTATCAGCTATGCGCTGCACATTGTTCAGCCCTTTGCAAAGGACTGCATCATGGTTTTGAAGCGCAGAAATATCACAGACAGTAGCACATAAAATCCGACCTGTGCAAAGCATCAATGATAGCCCTAGATCACGTGGCATGAAAAGTATACTATAGTTTTAAGTATAAAGCCAGAAGTATCTCATGCTGTAATATTTTCTATCGAAGTAGTCAATTAAATTGGTTCACCATCCGAATAATATTTTCTGTTCATCCGAAGATCGGGGTTTCGTAGCGTTTTTAAATCAATTGCAATATTGGTCAGTTCCGTGCTCTCCTACAAGTGCTAGAACAATACTAATCAATTCGCTGGCCAAGTTGCGACACAGCGATGTAATAGCCCGCTGTATACACGGTGGCCATAAGCGGTTCCGCTGACTCACCACCATGACATCATTCACATAACGTTTAAAGTTTTTTATTTTTATTTTATTTTATTAGCACTGTCTAATAATTACAGTGAGGAATCCGGCCACAACGTCTACACAAATACATACGAATAACAAAGCCCTAAAAGAAATGCTAAACAGCAATAGCTGCCTCTGAAACCGCCAGTGTGGCGGGAGGCTCTTGTTAATCAACGAGTCTGTGTTGATATTTTCCAAATAATGTTCTAGAAGCCACACTATACAAATGACCTTTATAGTACATGTACTGGTAGCATGTTGTGTTCAATTTCGGTGTAAGCTGCAGTCACAGAAAACTAAGCCCCACCAAAATGCCTGATTCAACAGTAGACAGCTGTTTGTTTCTGATAAGGTATTCGACCACATCAGCCATTCCCCACCATTCAATAACCTTAAAAGTGTTACTTTGGCCCCCACCTGCCTCTCTATAAATGTGCTGCTTTAGATCATCCGCTAAGGAAGTTGGTTGCTCCCACACTGGAGGTCGCGCTTTTCCCGCCGACCTGACGTGACACCTGCTTGTCGGACCCACTGACTTAATTCATTCTGGCCTACTTGTTGTTTCCAGGTGTTTCCAGTTCAGGAGGAAACCCAGGTGCAGACGGGTTCATCTCCACTGTGCCATGGTTCAGGCAGCTCCCGGAATGGCTATCCACTCATGTTTCAGTGCAGTAGCTGCTGTGCACCGTTGTACACGCCCCCACCGCGCCCACAAGCACATGGCCAGCAGCACCCAGCGAATGCTTTTCATCCCAGACCGGGAGCAGAAGAGGTCGGGTATGGATTTGCACCAGCTGGTCACGAGCCTTTATTAAACGGTAAGATCGAGTGTCATGCCATCAGATGTTGTTACACAGTAGAAGAAAGTTGTAGCTCCCCATCTATTTGAAGTAACTCGGCACAGGATTGTTTTATATCATTTAGACTGTGGAGGAGGGATGCCGAGATTCTAAACAGATTTACCACAACACTTTCAGATGTATGAAAGGAAACGGCTGGTCCGGCATGATGTTTTTTTGTGATTCGCTCTCCGACCAGGAAAGTGCTTTGCGAACATCTTTTAGTCCCTTCTTGTAAGGGACTCTGCTTACTTGCCATATTCTCAGAATTTTATCTTTAATTGAAGGAGCACCGGGACTGGTCCTTTCCCTAGGACTTAGAGAATGCAATTACTGATGCTGATGTCTAAACCATGTGTATTCTGTGCATCCGTATTGTATTCCTGCAGCTGGCCTGATTTGTCAGCGATGCAATTTCGACTCCATAAGTTTCACCACGTTGTGCATGCGCATGCAGCGGGAGCCTATTCTGCTCGATACCCATCTTAGGTTTCATAACGTGGGTTTGTACCTGGGTTTCTCCGACCAGTACCTGGATGGATTCCTACGCTTCTACGTGATGCACAAGAACGATTTTGGCCACTTGCTGTTCTATCTGCTTCGCGTGTGGAAGCGGTACTTGCTATGGCAGAGCGGCAAGGATCCATGCAGGTGCCTGCTCTCAGTTCTACGCATGGCCGGTGAACCAGATCTTGCTACGCTTTACGAAGGTAAGGCGCACTTCGCCGCACGTTGCTCTCTTTGATGACTGTATTGTTCTCTTGGTGTAGGAACTTGTGAAAACAATATACTGATCACTCACACACTCACCGAATATTTGGCGAGATTGGGAGATATACTGTTTGTGATTGAGATATACTGTTCAAGAATGACAAGAACTAACTTACATGACCTACAGCTGGAGGTTGAGTGGGGGAGGGGAGTACTGTTCCGTAGACAGCCCAAATAGTGCGGAAGATCAGATGCTGGTTGTCAACAACAGGCGAAAGAGAATCAAAGGAAAATGAAATCAAAACCTCAGTCCCATGTGATATTCTCTCCGTAGCAGTCGCTGATGCTCTCCGTCATGCCTTATGTTGCTCTGTGTACCATGCAGGAATCCTAGAGCAACAAGGACGACAATATCATGTTTGACACCTTTCGCTCGAAGCGCTCCATCCAAAGAACTGAATATATGGATTTGTCTAAACCGGTAGCGTATCGGTGCTGGTCGGTGCCAAGCCGTGTTGCTGGTCACTAATCCGGCCCTTTCGAAACTTGATTCTACTGGTTTAGTGGACACTCAGACCGTATATCACACTTGCTCGCATATTCTCCTGCTGTGGCTTTCCTGCTTGACCCACCTCGAATGTTGATCAGTGGAATTGCTTGCCTATCGCTGCTGACATTTCCAAGGCACACTGGGAATTGTGGAATTCCCTTGAGACCATCAGAATGTGAAGGAAGTTGAGGGCATCATTAGCAGTTCTGAGGAACACGGTCAGTAGTGTCAATGACATACAGAATATATCCTGCTTCAGTGTTGCCACTTGACACCTCACACAGTTGACAGTTAGTCCTATTCGCTAACTGCTATGTTTGCGCCGTTTACTTGATTCCTATGCATGCTCCCAAATTCAGGTTTTTTGTGCATACCCACAGTGTGAACTTGAGCCGAATCTATTCACCCCCCCCCCCCCTCCCCCCGGAAATTGATTCTATCAACTGTCCAGAAAGCCCCCGAACTTATATGGAAGAATGTATTTCAATTTTTATCAAAGACGGCAGGTATATTATGTATTTTCATCAAGCCAGCATATCATTATTATTATTATTATGTTTCATCTGTTTATCTGCATCCAGTTACATGTATCTGCCCTCGTGAAACTATCGCTGTGTTGATCACCCAGACTTTGATGCTTTAAGCCGGTTTGATATTGCAGTCCAGCAACATAGTTATATGTTTTTAAAACTATCTGAGTTATAATATTGAACCTACGGCAGTGTATCAAGGCAACATTGCGAGTACCGCGTGAGTATGACTTCATCATAACAAGCTGAGAGGAAGAAGAAATGAAGTTGAATGCTGAGCTGAGAACGATAATGACAATCGTATCCCTTGGGCTTGACGGGCAAGATAGCCCGAGATGCAGGAAGTAACGTTAGTTGCTTGCTTGGAAAACAGAACTTTTGATCTCCAGGCGATGTACTTCATAAATCGAACAACCATGGCACAAAAGGTACAGCAAACTGTCGGGCAAGTGCTCAAAAAGCAGAGACAGTTTTCAAAGCCGTTCAACCATGACGTGTGTACGCGAACACCACACCCCCATACCCTTTTAACGTTATGTAGCAGGCATCTAATGTATGTGATGGGCGTTACTAGTAGTAGACAAACAAATGCAACCATGGTATGAAGTCTAGGTACATTTTCTACATACAAATTGTGTTTTCCTGACTGCATATGAATCACTGCACCCAGGTAAACACGGCTGTTGGTACAGCTTTCAGTAGTACTGGTATATGAAGGCCGGCCATAGGCGGAATACCAAAAATATGCGCCAAATAATTAAATGGTGCGTATTTCTGACGGATCAGGCTATCACAAACAAATCGGTTCAAAATTAGTTGGTGCTCATGGGATGGGAACACAACCACGAACATTACACACCCATACTCTCTCTCTCTCTCTATCTATCTAACTATCTATCTCTCCATCTCTCGCTCATTTGTTAGACTTACCTGTCTATATAATGGTAAATTACTCTATCTCTCTCCCTGTCTCTCTGTCTCTTTCTCTCTCTCTGTCTCTCTCTCTGTGTGTCTCTCTCTCTCTCTCTCTCTCTCTCTCTCTCTCTCTCTCTCTCTCTCTCTCTCTCTCTCTCTCTCTCTCTCTCTCCCTCTCTCCTCTCCTTCTCTCTCTATCTCTCTCTATCTCTCTCTATCTCTCTATCTCTCTATCTCTCTCTCTCTTCTCTCTCTCTCTCTCTCTCTCTCTCTCTCTCTCTCTCTCTCTCTCTCTCTCTCTCTCTCTCTCTCTCTCTCTTTCTCTCTCTCTCTTTCTCTCTCGCTCTCTCTCTCTCTCTCTCTTTCTCTATTCGCCACCCTTTCACTCGTCGCAGTCAGGATACAGAATGTGCGTGCGCGCGTTTATCTGAATGGAGATGGCTCCGGGAAGAACATGCATTTCAGCTTGTTCTTTGTCATCATGCGCAGCGAGTTTGAGTGGTTGCTACCGTGGCCCTTCCAGCAGAAAGTCAATCTGTCCCTTCTCAACCAGACTCCATTCCTCGGTGCCAAAGAAAAGCAAGACGTTGTGGATGTGTTCCACCCCATCATCCGTAGCTCGTCCTTTCAAAGACCAACCACGGAAATGAATAGCTCCACCGGCTGTCCTTAGCTAGCACCGAAGTCGTACCTAGCGTGTGTGTGTGCATGTGTGTGTGTGTGTGTGTGTGTGTGTGTGTGTGTGTGTGTGTGTGTGTGTGTGTGTGTGTGTGTGTGTGTGTGTGTGTGTGTGTGTGTGTGTGTGTGTGTGTGTGTGTGTGTGTGTGTGTGTGTGTGTGTGTGTGTGGTACATGTTGTGTGTGTGTTTGTATGTATGTGTGCGTGTATGCGTTGGTGTGTGTGTGTATGTGTGTCTGTGTGCATGTGTGTGTGTGTGTGTGTGTGTGTGTGTGTGTCTTTGACCGACCCGCTGATTACACAGGGGTTAATCTCGCTAGAAGGAGTTTATGGATAACAGGTACTAGTACCGGTAGGTATACTACATATAGAAAGTATAATATACACACATACACACACACACATATACACCATGCACCTCCCCCCCCCCCCCACACACACACACGCACGCACACACACAATGTACCCCCCCCCCCCCACACACACACACTAGCATTCAGATCTCAGCTGGCTGGCATGATATGACTGGATTGGTATGTTGAAGTGGCGCATTCTAACAATCATTCGCCACTCTCCGTGATCTTGGCCCCGTACTTAGTAATATCCAGCGATCGGAATGTCGTAAGTGGTCTTGTGATCAGATGCTCATCATCCACGTTAGCATACAATGATATGTCCAGAAGTAGGTTTCAAGTTAGTTAGTTAGTTAGTACAATCATGCAAGTAATTAGTTAGTCAAGACCGCACACCGTTGAGCAGCATACGTAGTGCTGTTGGTTGAAGATGAAGCAGTACTTGACTTGAGTACACACACACACACACACACACACACACACACACACACACACACACACACACACATACACACACACACACACACACACACACACACACACACACACACACACACACACACACACACACACACACACACATACACACACACACACACACACACACACACACATACACACACACACATACACACACACACACACACACACATACACACACACACACACACACACACACACACATACACACACACACACACACACATACACACACACACACATACACACACACACACACACACACATACACACACACACATACACACACACACATACACACACACACACACACACACACATACACACACACACACACACACACACACACACACATACACACACACACACACACACATACACACACACACATACACACACACACACACACACACACACACACACACATACACACACACACACACACACACACACACACATACACACACACACATACACACCCATACACACACACACCTCACCTCACCTCAGACCTGCCCATCGCGGAAGCGATGATAGCGAACAGCTATGTTAGACATAGTGTAGTATCCCTGCCCGACCAATACGGAAGCAGTACGGAACTAATACGGAGCTTGTCTGATGTATATTTAGTGTATCTCCGTATGTAAGCGTACGTCGTCTGCTGCATAAAAGCGGCTGCGCATTTCTGTTTTGATGAAGATTAGATAAGATTAGATTAGATTAGATTGGATAGCAATGAAAGCTAACTCGAAGAATAAGGATTCAGCCTCTAGGTGAGCACCGGAGAGAAAGTTATTTATTTTGCCGCTTCTTCTTTCACGAACGATTATATCTCAGGTGTGTACCTGAAAGTAGAATAAAAGTAATTATTGTTGATTTCACCGCGCCTACCACTCGGCTACCTATTACATTGGTGGCAGCGGTGTAGTTTTAAATAAAACAACGTGATTCGACCCCAGACTCCGATGGCTCAACCCGCTACAGCTCCGTGCGACGAATCAAGATGAGAATCATGTTTCTTGCCTTCCTCGGCCTGGCCCTACTTATAAGCTTACAGCACAGTCAGGGTGCTAGCGTGGATCACACTTCTTTCCGCACGGCACACACTGGAGACTCCGTTAACGCGTTGGCGATTCCAAGCGACCCGCTACCTACATGTATACTACCGGTGGTGATGGCGAAGCTGATGAGGACGGTGCCCAAGACAAGGAGGGTATTCTCCAAGACCAGCAGCGTTTGATTTTTGCCGGCGCGTAGTTGGCAGACGGCCGAACCCTGAGTGACTACAACGTTCAGCAGGCGTCCACTATTCACTTGGTACTTCGTCTCCGTGGTTTGATGCAGATTTTCGTCAACACTCTTCCAGGCTAGACCATCACTCTTTACGTCGCGCAAAGCGATGCTATCGACAATGTGAAGACCACGATTCAAGACGAGGAGGGAGGTCATTTGTCTGACGCCGAGCTAGCCGCTCTGAGTGACCGGCTCAACCAAGATGAAGATAAAACCTGGCTCGCCCTCCGCCATAGCTCCAGCCGCCGCCGTGGTCACTAACGCTGATTCCAGGTATGGCATTTTCTTTCCTGTCTTCCTTCAGTCTCCCTGTTCTTTTCAGTCTTCCTTTATGCGAGTGTGTGAATCCAGTTTAGTTTGGTAGGCGTCTGATCATGGTGAGCCACGGTTTACCCAGCTAACGTGGGACAATGTGTGTGACAACGCCCCTTATAGTTATAGTGTATTCAGTTCGGTTTTTGAACTGCGATGTTCCTGGCGGGTTGTGCCAGCGTTGTGCAGCAAGAGTGCTGTGGCTTCAGGTCCTATTTGGAGGACAGTTCTTTCCCCTTTTGACCCCGTGAGACCGTGTGAACCTGGTGTGCTTCTACTTTATGATTTGTTATCAGTTCATTTCTTCTGTCTACTCTAAACGTTATCATTTCCGATATAATTTGCCATCTTCCGGTTGACGCTATGTTCATAACTCTTCACTAATTTTTTGAAAATCACGAGGGCGTGATTATCTGTAGGAAGGGAGGGTGTAGTATCCCTGCCCGACCAATACGGAAGCAGTACGGAACTAATACGGAGCTTTGCCTGATGTATATTTAGTGTATCTCCGTATGTAAGCGTACGTCGTCTGCTGCATAAAAGCGGCTGCGCATTTCTGTTTTGATGAAGAGAAGATTAGATTAGATTGGATAGCAATGAAAGCTAACTCGAAGAATAAGGATTCAGCCTCTAGGTGAGCACCGGAGAGAAAGTTATTTATTTTGCCGCTTCTTCTTTCACGAACGATTATATCTCAGGTGTGTACCTGAAAGTAGAATAAAAGTATATATTGTTGATTTCACCGCGCCTACCACTCGGCTACCCATTACATTGGTGGCAGCGGTGGGATCGGCTACCTATTACAATAGCAACTTGTGCTGGGATAACACCATTCAACAGCTTGCAAGGCTGATGAATTGACCGCCACTATGTTTAGCCTGGTATCCACCACACTGCTGATTGAAGTGACTTTCTCTGGCCAGTGAATCCCTATTTTTCATTTTTCCATTTTTTTCTTTCTTTTCACACACACACACACACATACACACACACACACACACATACACACACACACACACACTACAGGAATAACACGGGAATGCCAAGATTATTTTAAACACGCCATGGAATCGGGAGCCCCTTTCACCGTACATAACCCAAAGTTTACAAACAGCAAGACAGACTCTCCAACCGTCCAGACCTCGTCTGGACAGTCCAGATTTGAGAGAATGTGTCCTG